CTGAGGGACAGCGCCCAGGCCCAGAGTTCAGGCCCCACAACCGGACCAAAAAAAAAAAAAACAAAAAAACGAAAGAAAGAAAAAAACAAAACAAATACAAGTCCTTTTAGCATTTCCTCTTGGGTACTGATAACACTCGGAAACTTAAAAAAATATGTTGACTGTGACTACACCTTTTCATTTTTTCCTTCAGCAGCTGTTCCTGTTTTGAGTCAAGTTCTTTTTACCCATCCTTCCCCCCACCCCCACCTTTCTCATTGTGTAGTCTAGGCTGCCTAGTCTCCTTCCAACAGTGGGATTACAGGTATGTATGTACCACCATGCAAGATACCAGGGTTCTTACTTCTTGCGCATTAGAGTTAAAACTACCTCTAACCAACAGAATCTGAATGTGATTCTAATTGTAGCCCATGTTGAGATTCCCTTGAAACTGGATATAGTGGGATTCCTAGATAAAACAATACTTGTACTCTAGGAATGCAATTTCCCCACTTCATAGATTGGAAACTGGTGGCTGGCTCCCCAAATTGGCTTTTTTTTTTAAGACTCCAAGGAATTATGCAGACCAAGTTCTTTATTTTGGAAACTTCCTATTTATTTGAAGCATCTGGCAATCACAAATTCTAACTTTATGAAAAGATCTAAGTTTCTCAACTCCCAAAAGTGTGCTAATGTATAGATCATATGTTGAGTAGCAACGTTTTCTTTGTGGATTTATGCAGGTACTACATAGAAGCTTATACACAAGCTTATATACTTTTACGTTTATATGACTTTACATTTTCTTTTCCTGAGGCCACTTATTAATCAGCTTTTAGTAATGAAAGGAATTTCTGCTGGTTTTGGTTCAAATGTTCTAGTTTGTTTTCATAATCCTTCACACAAAAACCGTTTTCTAGGATCTGGCTAAGAACATTCCTAGAATCAGGTGTCCTACTGCAAAATGGACAAAATGTACTTGCCATAATTACTGGCCATACTCTTCTCTACATTGCCAAACCCAGCTCTCATGGCAGCCTCTGCACAGGATCCCGTTCTCATCCCAAGTGAGTCCCTAGGTTGGTACCTCCTGGTTTTGTTTGAAGCATAAATGTATCAGATAAATGTAATCATATCCAAGATTGAATTAGCATTCATATAACTAGGTTTGTCAGATTGCTTGTTGTTCTCAGATCACATACATTTCAAGGAAAAAGTGGCTATAGAAATATGAATACTAGGGGCTGGGAAGGTGGCTCCATGGTAGAGTGCTTGCCTCTCATGCATGAGGCCCTGGGTTTAATTCCTCAGCACCACATAAGCAGAAAAACCTTGAAGTGGTGCTGTGGTACCTTTGAGCTGAAGAACTGAGGGACAGCACCCAGGCCGAGTTCAGGCCCCACGACCAAGAAAAAAAAAATATGAATACCATTGTATTAGAGCTTCCCTCACTTATTTCTGCCTTACTATGAAGATAACAGAGGAGAGGGTGTCACTGTCCAAAAAGAAGTTTACTTGTTACCTGACTCATGTAATCCCTCTGTATATCACCTTTATAATAATAAAAAAATAGAAATTGAAAAATAGCTGAGAAACACATATGCTCAGTGTCTGTATATTAGTCAAATATGACATTTATCCTTATGTGAATAATACCACTTGAAATAATCAACTTTTGAAGACCTTTATTATATAAAATATTTGGAATTTTAAAAAATATACATGGATAATTTAACAATCTTTGTAAAAGGAAGTACCACCTTAAAAAGATATTTTATAAGACACAATCTAAAATGCATATGCCAAAATATTTTAATAAAAACTATTAACAAGTTAAAAATTCAGAAACTTTCTAACCACTGACCAATATGAGAGGTCTCAAATTTAGATGTATCTTCAGAGCTGGGTAGGAAATACAAAGTAGAGAAGCAGTGGCAAACCTGGGAATGGCATACTCAAACTGAAGAATTTTCTAATTGAAACATCTACTCCAAATAAAATTGTGGGCAAACTGGCTTGTGTGAGCTTGGCACCTCAAAAGGCTGAGTGAGATCTAGAGGAATACAGTTCAAACCTAGGTCAGACAGAAAAAAGTCCATAAGAATTCATCTCCAATTAATAAAAGTTGGCTGGAAGTGTAGCTCAAGTGGTAACTCGTTAGTGTGACTTACCGGATTATAATTCTTGTCTAAATGAATTTTAGGACTTTTTGTATCTAATCCTTAAAATGGAAGGAAGGTGGTAGCTGGCCCTTCTGTGTATATTTAAGATTACTTATGCTATATATAAGGGGAATAGGTTAAAGCTCTGAGACAAGGTATGCTGTTTTCTATATATTCTTAAAACATCTGGTTAAAAGATGAAATGTAGCTGAGCACCAATGGCTAGTGCCTGTAATCCTAACCATTAAGGAGGCTGAGATCTGAGGATTTAGAGTCAAAGCCAGCCCTGACAGGAAAGTCCTTGACTCTCATCTCTAGTTAACTACCAGGCAGGAAAGTTCAGAGACTCTTATCCCTAACTACCAAGAAAGCCAGAAGTGGAACTGTGGCTCAAGTGGTAGAGCACCAGCCTTCAGGATGTAATGTATGTGTGTGGGGTGGGGGGTTGGGGGGAGTAGACTAAGATATACCTAGGCCTCAAGTTCAAGCCCAGGACTGGCATACAAAGACACAGACACACACACAGACACACACACACACAGACACACACACACACACAGACACACACATATAAGGTATAGTTTCTAATAGCTGTACCTTGTTATGTAAAAGCAGTTCCAAAGAAGTTACTAGTTTGTCTGCCATTAATAAGTTCCTATTAATTTTTGATAGTTATGATAAAATCTTTAAAAAGGCTGTAAAGGCACATAATCACATAGCCTTACTAGACTACTTTTACACAATTCATGGACAACACAGATTTCAAACAAAATTCAAATACACTTACTCCAAACCACATGATACTCCAAAATATTTTCTTCTTTCTTTAGCATTTTAGCTTTCAGTTAAAGAAGTTTAACATAAAGCACCAAATCTAGTCATATAATAATATCACATTTAAGAATGAGTAGTTCACATATAAAACTTTTTAAGTCTCTAAAGTTTATATGGGAGAAATCAATTTCCTTTATAGCTATTAAACTCTTATTTTAACAAGCTAAAGTTGTGAAGTATTTGAACTAAAATCAGATGTTTAGAAAAATAGAAGAAAAAATGTACAAAAAAATTTAAACACAGAATCCATCAATTAATATAAAGATCATTATTTCCATCTTTCAAAACTTGAAACTTTTTTTTTGTAGGTTATGGAGCTTGAACTCTGGGCCTGGGCCTGGGCATGGTCCTTCAGCTCTTCAGCTCAAGGCTAGCATTCTACCACTTGAGCCACAGTGCCACTTCTGGCTTTTTCTGTTTATGTGGTGCTGAGGAATCGAACCCAGGGCCTCATGCATGCAAGGCAAGCACTCTACCACTGAGCCACCTTCCCAGCCCCAAAACTTGAGGAAATGTTTGGCTTTTCTCTCTCTCTCTTTGGACAATGCTAACTTCAGACAGCTAGGTAAGCACTCTAATGAGCTAAATCCTTAGCTTCCTAGTTTCTCTCTAAACCAGTCTCTAATAAAAATGTGAAGTCTAGCCCATTCTAAGTAATCTTATATGTATTTCAGCATTCATTTTTATTAGTAAAAGCAATTATCTAAAAAAATTAGTTTTTATGACTTCAAATTTTGCATACCATAAAAATTTCTATGGAAAAACTAAAGCTAAAAATCCGCCCCCAAACCCTAGATTATAAACTTGCCATATGCCCAGAAAGGAAACACAGTTCTCAAATCAAGTGAATAGCAAAATGTCACAGTACAGGCTGCATATTACAGTCTTACTTGTTTTAGCAATTCCTTTACAAATCAATGTTGTTCCTATGAATAAATTTATTTTTCATAAATTGTTCATAATTAAAAATTTAAGTTTTCATAAACAGTAACAAGAGAAAAGAATACATGGGATTCTCAAAATAACAAAATATTTTAACATGTAATTGAAATATTCTTTTAAATTACCGAAATATATTTAAAGTTTATAATAGACTGATCTGTAACACTGAATTCCATACTAACTTGTTATATTATTAGTACTATCTGCATGTTCTTATCATCACTGGATGAAAAACTCCTTTTGTAAGAAACCTTGATGGCTGTACTGTTTTACAATAGAATGATCCAGTTAGTTAGCATACTTATGGAGGAAGCGTTCAAATGCGTCATAGATGGCTTGTCTAAAATGAAAAAACAAAACCCAGATAATTAGAAAACATAGTTGGGCCAACAGTATTTCCACTGTATTTCTAAAATTATCTATGGTCTACAATCTGTGCTCCTCTCTATAAACAGCTATAAAAGCGTCAAGTACCTGAGTGGTGTATGGACTCAGGTAACTTTACCACACTACTGGCAGTTCCAAGAGATAATAGCTCCAGGAGCATCTTTTTATGAAGCACTTTTTTGTGACTTTATATATAAATATATGTAATATTTTTATCATTGTTGAAAATCAATTACATAACTTTTCAGAATCTGAAATTTATTTGACAGGGTATAACACGTTTTTTGATTACCAAGAATATGTTACTGGCAACCAAACTTAAATCAAGTCTTTGTTTCCTACATTAACTTCACTAGGAATCTTAATAATTGAAGAGGAATAGGAACATTGTTCTATTGCTCCATAAAACATGTTTTAAAGTTTATTTCTTCTAATACAAGAACAAGCAATTTCATTACAGTAGTCAGAAAACAAAAAAATATGGAAAAGGAGAAACTGTCAAAATGCCACTTTTCACAAGTCTCTCCTTCCCTCCCTCCCTTCAATGGAGCAAGTACAGGGGCCACACTAGTCTTCTGTTTTGTGCTGGTTTTGTTGTTGTTGTTATTGGTTGTGGGGCTTGAACTCAGGACCTGAGCGCTGTCCCTGAGTTTTTTTGCTCAAGGCTATTGCTGTACCACTTTGAGCCACAGCTCTACTTGCAGTTTTTGAGTGGTTAATTGGAGCTAAGAGTCTCACAGACTTTCTTGCCTAGGCTGGCTTTGAACTGCAATCCCAGATCTCAGCCTCCTGAGAAGCTAGGATTATAGGCGTGAGCCATCAGCGCCTGGCCCAATGGTACTATTTCTGTTCAAACTTGGATAGAAGTAAAAATGACAAGGGATACCAGAATTGTAAAAGATTGATAAGTCCAAAGTCATTAACAGTTAATATTCACTTGCTAGTAACAAAGCATTGCTAGGTTATTTTACAAATCCCAAAGTCATTCTGAGAGAATTATTCATGTGGGTGGAAAAACTCTTAAGCACCAGACCACAACCGTGGCTCACACCTGTAATCCTAGCTACTCAGGAGGTTGAGATCTGAGGATCGCAGTTCAAAGCCAGCCCAGGCAGAAAAGTCCATGACTCTTATCTCCAATGAGCCACCAGAAAAACAGAAGTGGTGCTGTGGCTCAAATGGTAGAGTGCTTGCCTTGAGCTGAAGAGCTGAGGGACAGTGCCCAGACCCAGAGTTCAAGCCCCACAACTGACCAAAAAAAAAAAACGAAAAAAACAAAAACCTTGTCACAGATCTTACAAATCATAACAATCCTTCTGATACCCTAAAGTACCTAGCCTTATTTAAAGAGGATATCTTATATCCCTAGTACTCTGGAAGAAAAAAAAACAGATGGGATAGTAAAAGAGAAAATACCTCAATGTGACATTTATGAGAGGAAAAAAGGAAAAAGGACTAAAACATACACTAAAAATACTGTTTTGTATTTGTTGAAGTGAAAAATAGCCCCCAAACAAATAAATAGCTATCTCAATTTACCTGAAGAGTCCTTGTTTAAAAAGATATGCACTAATATGACCCCCTTCTAGATATCGGATTTCACAACCAGGCCAAATTTCTTGTAGACTTCGAACTCCTGTTCGTGGAATATAGGCATCTTCTTTGGCTTGAACCACAATAATGAGGCTTGGGTCAACTGGAACTAAGTAAAGATTTTTGACACATTAAAAAGCTCTAGGATTATTGTGCTAACTCATAAGTCATTTTAGCATCAACAAAACAACAAAGCCACACAAGACAGAGTAAGTGAAACAGCTGTTAAACTAAAACTCTTTGGAGCTGGTCCTGGAGCTTAACTTGGGGCCTGGGCTCTGTTCCTGAACTTTCTGGCTCAGTGCTAGCACACTACCACTTGAGCCACAGATCCACTTCTGGTTTTTGGTAGTTAATTAGAGATAAGAGGTTCATGGACTTTCTTACCCTAATCTGGCTTGAAATCTTGATTCTCAGATCTCAGACTCGGAGTAGCTAAGATTCCTGGCTTGAGCCACTGATGCCTAGCCCTAAAACTAATGTGTGTCAGTCATACAGCTTGAACTCAAGGCCTGGGCTCTGTCCCTAAGCTTTTTCACTCAATGCTCATGCTCTATCACTTTGAACCACAGCGCCACTTCTGTTTTTCTGGTGGTTAACTGGAGATAAGTCTCATGGACTTTCTTACCCAGGCTGGTTTCCAACTGCGATCTCAGATCTCAGCCTCTTGAGTAGCTAGAATTACAGGCATGAGCCACTGGTACCTGGTTTCTAAAACCCTTTTGATCAAAGTAAAGATCAACTATAAAGCAGGTGTTAGTAGCTCAAGTCTATAATCCTTCCTAGCAACTCA